GTCCAGATGCACATCCATTCCCGCGCACAACAAATTGTCTAAAAGTCCATTTCCGCGCTATTTGAGGCCCTGTAAGCTGAAACCCGCACAAAGTGAAAGGATGCGGTTACATTGCGCGAATTCGGAGAGTCCCGCAATCGCGCAAAGTCGTATCAAAACCCCACGCAAAGTGGCTGGGTACCAAATCCCGCGCAAAGTCGGAGGTTCAAAATCGCGCAAAATTAGGGGTGTTCGCACAACGAAAATCGCGTCGAATTCGGTTTGAACGAGGAAACCACGCGAAGATCATCATCGTCACTTGGAGCAGTGGTCAAATTTAGCCGTTGCATCACGACTCTTGGGTGAGTTCCTAATACTTCCTCTCGAGTTGGCTAACCTCGAAATTTATAATAGGGTATACCCAGCTTCATCTCAGCTGTAACCCTCTGGAACCATGACTTCTGACACCTCGGGCAGAAGGACCGCGAGAGGCAGCCCCTTCTTATGAAGTTCTCAGTGACCGGGCAACAAGCCAACTGGGGCCTGGACCATCCGAGCCGTCCAATCTACCTTCACGTGCACCCCCAACGACTTCCACCAGGATTCCTCCAGGATTTGAACCAAGACTCCGAGCCCAGGCCCATCAAAAGGTGCTCCACTTCGTCCCAAACGCAGATTCGCAGTTCCCGAGGCCAGCTTTGATCCATACAAGTAACAAATCCTACTATTGTTCCCTCCGAATCCCGAGTTGAATATCAATACGCAGCGTGCCAATCCTACATGATGATTCTTAAATTTATTGTCTGTGAGCGTGAACTTTGTGCGGTTCTTGACGACCGCCGACTTTGGGCTGAATTTTGGTCGGCCGACTTTTGCGGGATTGCGGGATTGGTCGAATTTCGCGCAATGTAAGTGCCAATTTTAATTCTGCGCGGGGTTAGGGCAGTAGGTTTCGCGAAAATGGCTATGCGGGCAATGTGTTGCGCGTGGGTGGGATTAAATGTGCATTTGGACACTGATAGACGACGGTGTCCTGCTCTGTATATTAACTGAGTCAAGTGAGAGAGGGCGACGCTGAGAGCGGCAATGCACCCGTACCACAAGCATTTTCAGCCGTCGAGGGACGCCTCTGTCTCAGACTGAGATACTGACGGTAGGTTGGACCTTGGTCGACAGCGCCTTGCTCTGAGGGGAATCCCTATGATTATTTAAGGCAGATGCGGAGATGGTGAGCGGGAAATCACGCGTCCCGCCAAGAAGACTCGAAGACCTACTTGTAACGCTCCGTCCCGAGGATAAATGATGCCAGCCTCCCCCGCCCGACCGCGGATCTAAATACGGCCGCGCTGAGTATTACCTCTTGCTTGACCATGATCAAACCGACGAGATCGAGTCCTGCGAGCCACGAACCCCGACTCCGACAAAAGGCTTAGGGTTTCGCGCCATAGTCCAAGCCCTGGTCGACCGGGCACTGTAGCTAAGGTGCAGCTGACCCTGGGTAGATTGGCCAAGTTCATTAGGCGGTCGGACGTACAGCTGAAAAGTCCTGCAGCGCCCGTCGCACAAAACACAAAGCCAAATATGACCCTCGAAACATCGAGCACGGAGGCGGCGAATGTGACAACCATGGAGGTGGGTGGTAAATGTGACGGAGCCGTACCTCCATGGACGTGAGTTCCCGAAGGTTAAACGTGATTTCCAGAGGCGCCCGCCGATTCAAAAAGAAAAGTCGAAGCAAAAAAGGGTAATCGTAGGTTGATCGTGGCCTCCCTCCGGGTCCGAGCCCGGTTCGAACGGGGGTCTCCCCTGCCAAACCATACCGGAAGGACCTCTCCGCAATTGGACCTTAATAGCCAACGACTCAGCGTGCTAACCCTGGTGCGTCTTTGGACATGGACAATGCCGGCGGTGCCGCACGTCCGCCCCAAGCTTGCTACGGTGCGGATTCAGCACGGATCAGATGCTCTGAACGAGCGGACGGGTGGAGCCCACGAGCTCCGCAGGATGCACCCAGCCCACGCCCTGGGCCAGATAGACGGTCGGGATGAACTCGAAGGCAGAATCATAGAGGGGGAGATTCTGGGTATGCGAGCGAGTGCAGAAGCAAACGGGGCCAAGCGCGCCGCATCAGCGGAGTGTTCCTAGGGGAGCATGTACGCCGGAAGCCCCAGGAGGATTGTGTCTCGAGGATGTAGAAAAAGAGTGATATGGGCCAACCGTGAAAGAGGCGAGACACAAGTGGATCTGAGAGAGACGTGCACATCGATTAGTAGCCTGAGCAGGAGCGGAGAGCGTCGGTACGGAGAGAGTCGAAGTCAGGGCATGTCTGTGAGAAGCTTTAGCTAAGTCGGTCGCCATGGATCGTCCAGATGGGCCTTCGATGGCGGACGAGATGTACCTTGTCAGCGGAGGTGGTGGTCACTGGTCAGGAACAGAGTCGGCTATCATCGGGCACCCATCGGCCGGCAACGTGGCCTTCGGCCCGCGCTCAGCCCAACGCTCTTGCGGTCAACGCCCACCTCATCTCCCTTGCCTTCCCCGCGAGTTTCCGAATCCTTTCACTTCGCAGCGCAGCGTGGGTTTTCCCACCTCGAAGCCGATCTCTCCGCCCCTTCTCTTCGGGAGCGCATGCATTTCACACAAGGCGCCGAGAGGAGACACCTTGGGAAATGTCGTCGTCCGCCCGCGGAGGCTAACGCTCAAGCAAGACTTGCCACCACACTGTGCCTTGCGGTATGCTCGTCCTAGACCAGCGGCGCTCCGAATCATCGTGGCCATCGTCTCGCACCGGAGTTTGGGGCAAATTTTCAGCCGCCAGAATTCAGCCAATACATGGTGTTCTGGCCAAATATTGTTCGAATATTGGCGGAAATATTGTCCAGACAATATCTGGACTGAACAAGTTGTATTGGCTAGAAAATTGTCACATATTGGACAAAGATTTAGTGCTCATTTGGACTTGGGAGAATTTCGAGCTCGCCGTCGCTTACGTAATTGCCGTCTCTCTCCTCTCGCCGTCACTCTCCAGCGACGTGGCGGCTCGTCCTCCTGGACCGCTCTCTCCCACCTTCCCAAACGGTGACTGTGTATTCCCGTCATCTCTCACCTGTCGCCCCCCGCGTTTTGGAACGAAAACCTGATACAAGCACCCGCGGCGGTCAATTTGGCATTTTGCCAAACATCCGTGAATTCCATCCGTCAAACGCACTTTGGACTGTCAAGGATGAGCCCTAGACACTCATTTTCATGTCCTCCTTGCGGATCATGTATCTTCAGCTAGTTGTCGCACCAGAGACCAGGGTTTCGGGGACGGCGAGTATTCCGCCTTTTCATAACATGGTGCTGACACCCGGAGGCCACGTATACGGCTGCGATCCTGCAGCTCAGGATCCTCGCGCGCATCACACGAAGGGGCTAACGCGCAGCGAGGACCCCTTGCGTTCAACGAGGACGAGAGCGGGCGCGTCGACACCGACGCGGACTTTGACACGATCGCGCGCATGGCGGAGCTGTTGACTGCGGATGAGGTCATGCAGAGGTTCCTTCCTTCCTTCTCCTCATCAGATATGTCGTGCTAACGATGGATGGATACAGGCGCCGAGCAAGCTGTTCAAGGCGATCACAGCGCTATCCCAATACGTGACGTGGCTCTGCTGGGCGGCGCGGCGCGGCGGCTAACGGCCGTGTGGCTCCTTCAAACACTATCGCGTGCGCGGCGGAGCTATGGAGTGCGCAGGCGGGAGGTGATTTTACGCGAGGCGGGGAGTAAGCTTGTTGGCGTGGCTGGCGATGCTCGGTGTACCGCTGTGCCGCAACTTGTGCGTTATGCGCCGTTTATGGATGACAGACACTGATTCGCGGCGCACAACCCAGATATCGTACAGGCGCTCTTCGTGGCCATGGCACGCATCGCGTAGGGCTTTATGAGCGCGTTCTGGTCGCGCCGTCGGATGGAGCGGCACGTTCGCCCTCCAGGAGCGCAATTCGTTCCTCGTGATCTGCGCGTTTTTGGTGTGTTGCACACCCCCCGCGTGATAGGTACATTGATTAGACTTGGGGCACGCCTGCCGCTCGAGCACGGCGCCCACATCTTCAGCCGCACATTCCGCACGCACGGCGCGGGCGCGGGATCGGGGGGAGGTGAGCGTGCGCCTTTCGCGCTCCTCCCACTACTCATTCTTGATAAGGGCACGGTCGGCGGGATCGCGCTCGCAGACCTGTTATTCACCGTGCACGTGGGCGCATATGGAGGCAAACCTCCTCTTCTTTATCGTGCGTAGTCATATTCATGCGCAGGACCGCAGTACTCAATAATTTTGGGTCTATTAGCTCATGCAGGGGTGGGTGGGATCTTTACGCTCCATGTAGTTAGCTATGAACTTGTACGCTGCAGTAGTTGCGTGAATAGATGGCCATTTAGAACCCATTTACATGACTGGAAAAAAAGCTGGACAATATTCGGGCAATATCCCAACAAATATTCGGCCAATATTTCGCCAGAACAGCCTATAGTGTCGGAATATTGGGCTGATGTTATTTGAATAACATCTGGACAATATCCGGTGAAAACACCCTATATTGGCCACATTCTGGCCGCTGCGAATTTGCCTCAAACTCCGGTGTCGACTGCGCGATCGAGTCCAGGGAGTCGGCGTCGTTCCGCCATGTGAAGGCCCCGTGTCGTGTAAGATGGCGCGTCGTGGCTTGGCGGATGAGCCGCGCCGCGTACCTGCGATGTGCGTGCTGTCTGCCTATTCTTACGCCACCACTCTCCCGACGCTACTCTCTTCCTCCCCTCCTGCACACGGCGCTTAGCCTCCCTTCCGATGACCGCATCTCCCGGCGTCCATGTGTGCTTCCGTGTTTCCCCGCTGGCTGGCGGTCCAGATTCCCGCATACACGCGCCGCCTTGCGAGTGTCAGCGCGCCTTCATACTGCCTCCGGAATCAATTCATATCATCTCCTCCTCTTCACTTCCCCTCCACTTTCAGACGGATCTAGGCCCCACTACACCGTATTCAGGTCCAATTGCGGAGAGGTCCGTGCCTGCATACCGTGGGCGAGCAAGGGTTAATTACCTGCAGGAGCCGCCCGTTCGACTCGGGCTTGGACCGTACAAGTGCCAGCAGGTTTTCTCTTTTTTTTTTGTGCTCGCCCGGCATTCATGTATGGTCGTTATCCCGACAGAGACCATTGGGTCCATTGATGTGAGTTAGTAAGTAGTCAGGTATGTATGTTGAACCCTATGTTTCACGTCGGGAAGATTCAATGAATTAACTCGCCGGTAGGCGCCTCGGAACGCCGGAGGCGCCTAAACGGAATGCACAGGCTTCGAGTTTCTCACTTGGCACATGTGAATTCGCCCATCGTAGTCTAAACACTTGTTACTCACTCCGATGTCCACGACGAAGTTGATATCAGGCCCAATTCTTATAGCACAAAAACTGTATGTAACTCCCGTCCCGTAGAGTCCGCCCAGACGATCAGCTCATCTCGTCAGGTTACGGAGAATTATGCATGATTGCAATTGCACCTGGGAATCTAAGCACTCCATTAATTCCGACAAGTGGAGGAGGAAATCTGTGGCTCTGATAGTTGCTGCGCCATCACTACGTTCCGCCCCGTTGTCGGCCCAGCTCGGTAGACCCTGCCGACCTGTGTTGAGCTCGGTCGACCTCTGCGGACAGGGATCGACAGTGTCTGTCGACCTCAAACCAAGGACTCGACAGACTCTACCGACCCGGGTCGGCAGAGCTCGACCGAGCTCAGCACAGGTCGACAGGGTCTGCCGACGGGCCCAGGGAACGCAGTGCATCGGTTGATTCGCTGATTTTGGCGAGAGCGCCCACCACGGCCTGGACAACTGGAAGAGAAAGGGACCTGGGTCAAGGAGGGTGGGGTGATTAATAATTAGACGCTCATGATTGTCATCAAGTAACTTACCGCCGAAGGGAGATAAACCGCACGCAGGGCTTGACAGCCGACGTAGTTCGTGTCGGGTCCCCGTGGTGGACCAAATCACCCAGAATTTTACACCCCCAGATCCGTACCTCTGGGTCCGGAGATAGGAGAAGCTCTAGCAGGTGGTCCGGCATATTTGCATCCAGGACAGCGTTTCCACCTTGAGGAAATTTGGTGATCCAAGAGAGGGTCTCTCCCGCACTCCTCACTACTTCTTTATCTTTGTCCCTGAATCAAAAAAAAGTGGAGACAAGTCAGAATTGCTCAGGAAGAAGTGCGAGACAACATGCCGCAAAAGCTTTACAAGCCTCTCGCATGATCTCACGTCCAAGACTGCCACAACCATGGCCGAGTGGCTGGCTAGCTCTCCCAGGAGTTTACACGACCATAGTCGTACCCAAATGTTCGGTGATTGAAGCAGGTCGACGATGTAATGTAACACATTTCCATCGACTGCAGCCTGCGCGCCTTTGGTGGATCGAGCGATCGCATACAGTGCATATACCGCACCGACGATGACTGTATTGGATATTTTACTGGTTCCAAATCAACGCGCGCCGTAGTCAGAGACTGAAAAGTGACATACCCTAACTGGGAGACGAGCTGTGTGCAAAGATTTGCACTCAGGGTCACCATCGGTAGGGACTTGTGGCGTACAACAATACATCCCATCATCCAGCATGTCCATTCGCGGGCCAGGACATTAGGTGATTCAAGAAGCTCTGCCACACAGTTTAACACAGCTGCATCCACTGCAGCCTGCGTATCGCTGGGCAACTTGTACCGAGGATACAGCGCCCCCGCCGCATGCCGGATGATTCCCGTAATTGGGTTACTGATTTTACATCAACATCCTTCCAGCATAGGACGACAAGAGGGCACACTTGCCTCTGAGAGGAATCCAGAACGACCCACTGCTTCAACGTAGCCAACACGGCAAGGGCTATGGACTCGTGCCGTGCCAGCTCGTCCAGTATTGCATACATAGAGGTCCGGACCTTGGCATTTGGTAGCTCAAGCACTTCCGTTACGCGTTCTAAAACTCTCGCGTCGACCGCGGCCTGCGCCCCTTCGGTTGATGTAGAAATGTACTTCAGCGCCTTTGCCGCAGGCTCAAAAACTGTGGACTCTGTATCACTGTCGCCCAATAAATACCCTCCTGAGTCGGCAAAATCCAACACGCACCGCAAGAGAGATACCAGTGTCCCGCAGGGCTCGAGGTTTAAGACGGCCTGCCTGGTGGACCAGCTCGATGCTAGGTTCGCCAGCAACTCACATGCCCATCTCTGGACCTCCTTGTTCGATGATCTCAGCAGTGTGGGCACGCAGTCCAGCATATTTGTGTTCACCAAGGTCGGGGAGTAGAGGCGTCGGGTAATTCGACATAGTGCAATTGTCGCTTTCTCGAAAAGGTCTAGGTTTCGCTCTTGAACAGAGACTCGTCGTGACGCGGACACGAGTCGCATGCAAAGGTTCACGTCAATGGTGGCATCTGCTCCAGACTCTGTTATATGCCACGCCACACGGTCAACCATTTGGCATGCGCGGTGGCGGATTTTAGCATCCTGTGATTCGAATAATTCCGGCAGGCAATCTAACAGCTTCGCATAGAGTGCAGCTTGAGCACCATCCGCCAATTCAATGACCCGGGACACTACCCGTGTCGCAATCTCGGCGATTTCGGTATCGTTATGACTGGTTCAAGCATCAAATCTCATTCAACAGGAAATAATCAAAGCACACCGTAAGAGGGCTATGATCGGTGGATAGAGTGTTTTATTTAAGGTGGTAAGCACTGCCAGCTCGGGGACTCCCAGAATCCCGAGTGCCCATCCCCAGGCCGTGGATGATTTCGAGGCACGTCCTTGTCCGAGGTAGCTTACGATATCTGCGCAAATTGTTGCATTGACACCGCCGGGCCACTGGCTGATCCGATAAAGCACCTCGGCCGCATTCTCCACGATCTCGGTGTTTGTGTCGCTGCTTGTGATTAGTATTCAGTCGGAAGAGGGTACTCCAGACTCACCGCAACAGACGCACAAGCCGAGGACAGGGGTACACGCTGAAGATAGCTGGCGCCACCGTCACGCGGCGTGCCATTTGTCTGAGAATACTGCTCATTCGTAGACGGAGTAAAGAATTTGGCGATTCAAGCAGCTCCACAATGCGAGGCAAGATGTTTGCCTCCGCGGCAGCATGCGCCCCACGGGGGGATTTTACGATGCAACACAGTGCTTGCGCTGCACATTCCAAAACCGTGAAGTTCATGTCGCTGATCCATAATCAGTAGCATCCTCGAGGAGACACCAGCAACGCTCACTGCAAGAGGGATCCGAGCTGGAGCCATGCGTCCGAATCAATAACCGCAATTGTCGTGGGCTCGTGATCGGCCAGACGAGCAAGTGTCTCGCATGTCCATAATCGGATCCGTATGCTCCTCGATCCAAGCAGTTCAGGGATGAAGTCTAGAATTTTCGCGTCAACAGCAGCCTGCGCGCCGTCTGCGGATTGGGTAATGCATCGCAGTGCGCGCACTGCAGTTTGGGTGATATCCCGATCGTTATCACTGGATTAGAATCAACACCTCGTTCGGAACGGAACTATTGTACTTGCCGCAAGAGGGGGACGAGTTGAGGACAGTGGGTTTTATCCAAGATGTCCAAAACCGTAGACTTGTAATCTGCCAGGAGGCCCAGGATACGGCAGGACCATCTGCGTTCATTTGATTCCAACGATCGAAGCATTTCCCCGAGGCACTCCAGGAGCTTTGGGCGCATAGCAGCTTCTGCGCCCTCAGACCATTGGGCAATCCGGTGAAGCGCTTCCGCTGCGCTCTGCATGACCTCCAGATTTGGGTCGCTGTTTGTAATCAAGACCTGGGCGGGCCAACAAGTAGCTGAGACTCACCGCAAGACACACAAAAAATGTTCACCAGCTGTTACCGGCAAGACGGTGGCTGCTGTCCTCGCGTGGCGTGCGAGCTCCCCTAAGAGCTGGCACGTCGCTTTGCGAGCCCGCGGGTCTGCCGATTCGAGCAAGTCTGCAGCTGAATCCAACATGTCTGCCTCCACACATGCTTGTGCGGTGTCCGGCCATTGCGCAGTCCAACATAATGACTCTAATGCTGCAATCGCGAGATGTTCATCGCTGACTAAGTGTGAGGAACATGTTCCAGGATCGTGAATGGAGACTGACTGCAAGAGGCCGACGAGCTGTCCACAGTGGGCTACACTCCAGCCGCTTAATCTGGTGGACTGGTATGACAGTCGGGGCAACATAAGGCATACCCATTTACAGACACCAGCATGCGGTGAGGTGAGCAAGTCCTCGACAGATTGCGCTATATTGGCGTCAACGGCAGCCTGGACGCCGCCGTCGGATTGGATGATCCAATACAAAGCGCATCCAGCACTCTCCGCAACCTCGCCATTGTCGTCCCTGATGTCCGAGTGCTATCAATAAGTTGTCCACGAGGTAGAAGATGAACTCGCCGCGAGAGAGTTATCAGCCGGAGATGGGGGTTTATATCTAACACGGCCCTCATCGTCGATTCGTAGAACGCTAAGTGCCCCAATACGCCGCATGTCCATCTTCGGATCCCGGTGTCAGGTGATTGGAGAAGGGTTCCGACGCAATCTAATAAGAGAGCGGCCACAGAAGATTGCGCACCCTCCACGGATTTGGTGATCCAATACAATGCGTGGGCCGCAGCCTCGATAACCCTAGGCTCTTTGCAACTGCATTCATATCAGTAAGAGACTATCCGCGGATAAATGATCGAGACTCGCCGCAACAGCGACACCAGGCGAGGACAGGGCTCGACGCTCAACACTGCCACGCACTCCTGTTTCGCCAGGTTCCCCACCATCGAGCATGACGATCGCCGGACCTCTACATCTTCTGATCCCAGCAACTCATCGACGAGGTACAGAATCGGTGAATTCACCACGGTGTGCGCTTCATCAGATTTCGCGCGCTCGCAAAGGTCCCAAAGAATCATAGATTTTGTCGAAGGGAGTAAATATTTGAATCTACGGGATCCATGCGTCAGAAAAAGCCGAGGTGCAGAAGATGAGGAAGTATGCACACCCCAGATAGCTCGCACAGATCTGCGCGCTCTCTGTCGACAGTGGCCGCCCGCGATTTTTCTTCA